TCAGGATCTCAAAGGTGATGAGAGCAGTATAACAGATGTTATCTACCTGATGAAACTGTTAAGGATTGAGAACATTAATGTGTAGGAGCGCTTAACACGGTGCCTGCCACATAAATGCTCAAATTTGTTAGCTACTCTTGTTGAGTTTCAAGAACCTCTCTTCTCCATTTGTTAACACATCTCTTTACCTAGGAGCACGTAGTGGAAAAATCTGTGGTTAGACCTGGTGCTTCAATTAAGGGTCTTAGCTCATTGCCAGGAAGACCAGAAACAGAAGTCAAGGACAAGCCAAGGGGTTAAATGTCACAGAAGCAAATCCTTTTCAATTAGCTGCTGCCACTGATCTCTTCCCCTGGAAGAGAATCTTCTGCTGCCTCAGTGTCTTCATCTGTACAATGGGGATGGAGCCGCCGTTTCTGCCTGCAAGACCGTAATGAAATTCTGGACATGACTGTACTTTATAAACTCAAGAGCACAATGCACTTGAGTTAGTGGTTAAGAGCACGGGTTCTGGGCAATCTAAGGTGAGTGACCTTAGACAAGCAAACATCTGGCCTCAGTCTCCCATGGGACTGTAGTGAGGAGTAAGTGAAACAGTACAAAGAGTCTGGGGACTAGAACATCAAAAGAGCCCAACTCCTGAGAGTTACTATTATGGTTATTAACCTGTTCATTGGACTCCTCACCCCGAAGGGTCAGGTGAAAGCCTGATACAGTGACACAAACACTAGCCCAGGAAATGGGCTCTGAAACCAGCTGTTTGACCTTGGGCAAGTAGCTGACCCTCTCCAAACTTTGGGTTCCCATGGTCGTAAAAATGAGAACAGTGCAAGGGAAAATTCCCTGGGCTCCTACCAGCTCTTCCACTTCGCTATAAAGGTCGCCTGAACAAAGGCTACCCGCTCCCCAGCCTGTCCCCCGAAGGGCCACAACTCAAAATTCTCGCTGTTCAATTCCCTTTGCAGCGCGACAGCAGGAGCGCCCGGGTCTCCATCCCGGGGAGAAGCGCCCACACGCCGCCGCCACCGCTCGCTTCATCAGCAACTTGCTTCTGCAGCCGCTCCCTGCCCAAAGTTTCCCTGAGCGCCAGGAGACCTGGCCGCGGGTCAACGCTGGGAAGACCAGAGATGAGAGCAGAGAACCTGGGGACTCGGTTTCGGGGATCCCACAGCCGCCCCCGCAGACGGGCGGGGAGTGACAGGTGTGATGCGGAGCTCAAGCGACGGAAGAGCGGGACCCGGGCGGCGCGTGTAGGCGCGCGAGGGAGGCGGCGGCCGTCCGCTCTCCTCAGGCCTCTCCCTCGGGACACTTGCGACGCCCCCGCCTCCGCGCTCGGGCCCCACGACCCCCACTCTGCTTCCGGACACGCGGCGCCGCAGAACCGAGAGCCGGGCGGGGGCCCAAACCCGGAGCGCTCCAAAGGGATGGGTTCCGCCGGGCGGACCGCGCGTGCTGATTCTTCCCGCGCTAGCCAGGGCCGCGGGGGGTGGGCGCACGCGCACCCGCGCGCTGCCGTAACCCCTTCCTCCCCGCGCGCCCCCGCACTCCCACCCACCCACCCACCCACCACTCACCGTCGATGTCCCCCAGGGTCAGCTCGTCGCCCAGCTCTGTGAGCGTCTCCATGGTCTCCAGACCGCCCAGCTCTCCGCTCTCGTCCATCGCCCGGCTCGGCACGGAGGCCCCCCGAACCGTCCAGCTCAGGGAGACGCGGGGGCGGTGCCGCCGCCACCGCCCATGACACCCGACAGCCTCCTCCCGGTACCGCCTCACCGGCCGGTGCCAGCCGCCGCCATGTTTGCGCCGCGCGGGAGGGGCGGGGCGGGATTCCCCCGCCCCAACCCGCGCCCCCTGCGGCCCCGCCCACAGGCCGCGCGCCCCCTTGTTTGTTGTCAATGGGACCAGGCTCTTCGTGGCCAATCGGCTCGCGAAGCGGCGCGTGGGGTGATGGCGCGTCATCGATCAGCAGCTTAGATTTGCATAGCGAGGCCCCACCCCTCGCGGGCTCCTAGCAAATGCGAAAAGAAGCCTCTGGGTCCTCGGCCCAACCTTCCTCCCCAGGCTTAAAGGCGCCGCTCACTTTTCCGTTGGGTCTGCCTCTACAAGCTATTCCATCCACCGGCTGGGGGTTGAAGGGTTAACACTCTCCGCCCCCGCTTGCAGGTCGCCCCCGGAGCTAGCTCTGAGCACATTACGTCACCTTCCCAGCTGCTCCCCCGCCCAGCCTGCCTGGGAGAGCGGGTAGAATCAAACCTGGCCCCCCAACACTGCGGCCCGGAGGGGTCTGGATCATTCAAGTCGCGTTCCTCGCAAGCCCCTTACAAAGGCGGAAATGGAGGCTCGGCGCGGGCCGCGGACTGCATTTTACAACCTCCACGCCTTTGCACCTGTCGCAGCCACGCGCCAACTCCGGCGGCCCTCGCGGGGGTAGCTCAGAAACGCCTGCAGACGTTCAGCAGCAGTGCTAGTGCCCGGGACCACAGGCCCCCCGGGGTGTGACCTGGGCAGGAGCGTTTTCACGGTGCCGCAGAGATTCTGACGCGCAGCCCGCCCGCCCGCAGATTCCCGCTCCTTCAAGCACCTCCTTGCCCCATCTTGCAGCTGGTCGCGATGTAAACACATGTGCAGACTAACAGGAGAGCATCCTACGGAATAAAAGTATGAGCGCTCAAACAAGTGCGCAAATATTAAGTTCAAAGACGCTCATCACACAGTCCTCCCCGTAACTGGGACGAGCTGGGAAGCCTCATAAAGGAGGATGAACAGTACATCCACACAGTGGGATACCATGGCATCAGCCAAGATTGGGCACGTAAATGTCTCCCTATGGACAACTCTCACAGTATACTGTTAAAAAGGAAAAATAGGTTTCCTAAGAGATTGCTGGTGCTCTGGGGTCAAGAGGTGAGCACACAGACCCTGGGGGGCAAACACACGGTCCCACTTAAGCAGTGTGACTTTGGGCTGCCTACTTAACTGCTCTAAGCCTCAGTTTTGAAATCTCTAAAATGCGGGGAAAATAGGGCCCTCTCAGTTTGGAAGATTAAATGAAATCATTTGCACATTCGTTTCATAGTATTTATTGAACATTTCTGACAGGCAAAAAAGAGGCAATTCCTGCCCTCTGGGAGCTTCCAGTAGTGACGAGAACAGACATTAAACAAATGTGAAAAGCAGACAACAGTACAAGTAATCAAGGGAAAGTACTGGGTGTGAGGCAACTAACGAAGGATTCAGACATTTAAGATAAAATCTAAAATTCTTAAGAATCACATCTGGTGTAGCCAGGGCAACAGATGATACGGACAAAGGCCCTGAGGCAGGAGGAGCTGCTGCCGCCACTGAGCACTTGGCATAAGGCCTGACATATACAGAATGTGCCCATACACAAGAGCTATGGTAACTGAAGACACAGGGATCTCTGTATTCACATTAAGGGCTAAAAGGCTAGAGGCCCAACAGCCGAGAGTCCATCATGGTTACCGAGTGGTTGGATTTAGGGTGAATTTTATTTCTTCTTGGTATTTCAGTACTGTTTAAATTACTTCTTATAATGAACATGTATAACATAGGAAAAAACAGTGACTTATTTTGGGGGGAAAAGGACAATGTTTCTTCACTGTTCACATGCAGACTATACAAATTAATCTCACCCTGAAACGGAAAACCAGACCCTGCTGCTCTGCTTGGGACTAAGCACAGACTTGGGCAGTGCCACCTTCGACAAGGCCTCTCACAGGGCCCCCCCAACACTGAGAGGTGACTGTCTGCCCGCCTACCGTAACTCACTTCCGTCCAGTGCTCTCCCAACCCAGAGCCTCAATAAGCTGCTGCAAAGGGCTGAATGAGCAGCAGGAGGTCAGGTGAGTGGGCACAGCACCTGTCACTCCGCGCTGTCCCCACAGCTCCTCTCTGAACCTGCCCAGGGGCTGCGGTGCTATTAAAATGGCCGAAGGAGGCACAAATGAAGGGTCAGTAGAAACTGCAGAAGAGGGGCACCTGAGTGGCTCAGTGGGTTAAAGCTTCTGCCTTCGGCTCAGGTTGTGATCCCAGGGTCCTGGGATCGAGCCCCGCGTCGGGCTCTCTGCTCACCAGGGAGCTTGCTTCCCATCTCTCTCTCTGTCTGCCTCTCTGCCTACCTGGGATCTCTGTCTGTCAAATAAATAAATAAAAAATCTTTTAAAAAAAATTATAGAAACTGCAGAAGAAAGCCGACCACACCACACCCATCCTTAGCAAAACACTGGCATTCTCCCTGTGGCCTTGGGTCCCAACTCACTGAACATTGCTTCCAGTTGGCACTGTGCCCTGGGTGGGAGAAAAGAGTCCGACTCTCAGGGATGGAGCAGCTTTAGACAAGTCACTCCTCAGGACCTGGGTTCTTCACCTGGGAAGGGACGGACCAGGCAACCATATATCCAGAGATCTACCACAGACGGGGCAATCACTACAGGGCAGAGAAGTGAACTTTGAATATGCTTTCTCATTTACTACCCTCAATGCCTCCCTTTTTAGGCCTCTGCTCAGAGTTCCTGTCACTCTCTCCCTCCTCCCCCAATCTTTGAGGATGTAGTTGTCGCTTCCTCCAGGATTAGGCAAGAATGTGTACCCCACAGTTTGACAGAGAGATTAGGCTTGGGGATGGAAAACAAGTTTGCTTTTGGGTAAGCTGAAACATGAGGACAGAGTGTTATCAGTGGCAAGAGGGCAAGTACCATCAGCTTTGGGGTCTCAGAGGATACAGCTCCCAAAAAGAAAAGAGCAGAGAGGAGAGACTAAGCTTAAAAAAAAATGCTTTGGGGGTACCTAGATGGCTCAGTCAGTTTAGCACCTGCCTTTGGCTCAGGTCATGATCTTGGGGTCCTGGGATGGAGTCCCTGCATCAGGGTCCCTGATCAGCGGGAAGTCTGCTTCTCCTCTGCCCCTCCCTCTGCTCATGCTCTTATGCTCTCTCAAAAAAAAAAAAAATATAAAAAAAAAAAAAAAAAAAAAAAGCTTCACTTAAGGGGCAGGTGAGGAAAGAGGAAGAATCAGGAAGAGACAGAGCAGACTCAGACTGAGGACAGAGAACCAGGACAGCATGGCAGCCCAGAAGCCTGGAAGGATCATCTCGAAGAGGTTCCAACAACATCTCTCTGGGAGCAGTGACAAGACAGCAAGAGGAAGATGTGGGGCTGGGATAAGGAGGGACAAAGGCTGTGGACCAGGGAGATTTTGCCCGTGGGGTCATCTAGTAATGTCTGGAGACTGCTACTAGCATCTGGTAGGCAGAAGCTAAGAATGCTACTAATATCCTTCAACACACAGAACACCCATCCTCATATACACTACGAAGAATTATCTGGCCAGAAATGTAAATAGTGCCACCGTTGAAAAACCCTGCCTCTGAGGATACAGGGGGCTGCCAGACCCTCCAGGGGGGCCTCAGATTAGACTTGGAAGCTCAGCAAACAGGAACAATATCCAAGAACACGCTGAAAACACCACTAAAGATGTCATTGTTGCCACCACTGGGCACCCCTGGCATTAGTCTAGTCTGGTCACTAGAACCAACCCATCCCCTGCCCCACTGCTCCCTCTGGTCGCAGCGGCCTTCACCTCCATCAGCACAACTCCCATGCAGGCTGGTACATCTGGTTGATGGCACATTGCCCACAGGACCCAACCCTGGTGCAAGGAAGAAGGACAAGTGCCCTGGGGCCTTTACACCTCCTGACAAGGAAGTGGGAAGGCTCTGCCTGCAGTTAAGACTTGAGGCAGAGTTTCCGGAACTAGTAACCACAACAATGGCATCAAAGGGAAAGAGAAAGGGAGAACAGAGTTGTTCCGTTTCTTTCTTTGAACGTGTCAGATGGGAAAACTTGGGCCCATCTGAGGATGGAGAGGAAGGAATTAACCAAGGTGGAGAGCCTAGAAGGAGAGGGGCGCCAGATGGGACAGAGGTGAAGATGGGTTAAGATGGCGCCCCTCTCTTTTGTTATGCCTACAGAGATGCTCAGCAAACCTAAAGGATGATAGAAAAACCATCAGAGAACATCTGTCCCTGAGAAGCTGGGCCCCAGCCTCAGAGAAGCAGTTTAGGGCAGGACAGAGGGTTCAGACATTGTCAAATTCATTTTGCTAATGAAGCCACAGCGCAGAGAAGGGCTGCGCCAGGGTCACTTAGCAAGTCTGAGGGGCTGAGACAAGACTCCTGTCTCTCTTGGACTCTGTCAGTGTTGGGGTGCTGGAGGGTTCTGGGATGGTCATGTGTCTCTCCCCTTTTAAGACACCGACCTAGCTTGGCAAGTCAGAGAGACTGAATTGGAATTCCCACCAGAGCCTCTCCTTCCTCTGCCTAGGAGGGACATGATTAAAGGGTAGCTGCCCATTCAGGGACTAATTCCCTGCTCTGTGTCCCCTGGTATCTGCCATGGGGAGCCCTCTGACCAATCCAGCCCGGAGCAGCCCAGCCATGACAAAGCACAGCCTCCTGCAGAGCTACAGCCTGTCCCCGACATCCCCTCCCCATAGCCCAAAGGCCTCCTAGACACATTGATTCTACCCTGCACCTGATTCTACCCTGCACCTGTTCATGGACGGTCCCCAATATCTGATGACAGAGATCATGTTGCTCTAAGGTCCCTGGCTAAACCCCGGGACGCTTCTTCATGAAGGACAGTGCTTTGAAGGGTAGAAGAGACCTAAGCCAAGCCCCTGCTTCACTGTTTTGCCAGGCCCCTGCCCCATGAAAGGGTTCCCAGCTCCCTGGGGCCCAAACCAGCATCCATTAGCCCAGAGGATTTGCTGGCTTTTACTGTGTCTTTGCAGAGGGCTGGAACCTGTGCCCGGCAGCTCAGTGCCACGGTGGGACCGGCAGCAGGCACGGCACTTCTACAAGTGGCTCAGAGCCCGATGCTGCTGCTTCCTCATGAAGGGCGGCAGCCAGCTGGCCAGTGGTCCTGACCCAAAGGGAGAGTCCAGCTCGGGATCCTTCCAGCCTCCCCCGGCATCTCGAGATGGTTTGATCTGCAGCATGGCATCCTCTGAAGAGCCTCCTGGCACCCTCTCCAGGGAGGCCTCTGGAAGGAAATCCAGCCCTCTGTGGCCCAGTCACTTCTGTTAGGGCGCAGAGCCGGCTCCACCGGGGCTGAGCAAACGCCACCTCCCTGTTCACATGGGCCAGCTCTCACCCAGTCGATGCCTCTGTCTCTTCCTCCAGACTGGTCTCCTCCGGAGCCCTGGGCTGCTCCCGGCTATAACTCCGACTGGGATCTTGAGATCCGTGGGCCCTTTCGGATCTCTTTCCGCTTCTCCTCTTTCTTCCTGCGTTTCTCCTCCTCCCTCAGGGCCTTCTGGAAAGGGTCGGTGCTAGAAATGAACTGAGAGAACAGAGCAGTCTGGTTTAGTCTACCAGCAGCGAAGAGTTTGCGCTGAGCCAGGCTGCCATGGGCTTGTGGCAGCAGGAAGATGGCCTAGACACAAACTCTGCCCTCCCAGAGCCTGCAGACAAGGAGACAGTTCAATGAGCCTGGGGAAAGCTGCTCAGAGGGTCTAACCAGGAGCTCCCCAAGCGGACAGGGTGAGGGAAAAAAAGGATGTTCCAGGCAGAGGGGCAGGTGCTGAGGTGTGAACCTACCTGGGGCTCCTCCTCTCGGGGTGAGGGGGCTGAGTGCCCCAGACAACCACAGACACCCCCTCCCCCACCACAGCCCTGAAAGGGGGAAGGCAGCCAGCGAGAGCAGGAGACCACAGACGTCCCACTGCTGGGGAACAAGCTGCAGAGAAGCCCAGGCAACAGGAGTACAGCCACAGGAAGCAGGCGCCAGACGTCACACTGGCAGAGCCTGGAAAGGGGGTGGAAAAGAAGATGGTAGTGCCCAGGCTCACGGCTTCCAGGGTGCATGGATGGTGGTCCTGGCAAGGAGAGAGGAAGCCAGGGCAAGCCAGGGTGGGAGGAGGACTTCAGTGGAGGCACTCTGCTCTCCCCAGACCTGCTCATCTGAAGCCCTGGCTTCTGTTAGGTGTGTCAGTTACCGCTCAAACCGGCATCTCCGTATCTAAAGGCCGCTAGGATGTCCCCGATGTGCCCCAGACTTGCCATGACTCCATCTCCCCAAAACCCAGTCCTCTTCCAGTGTCCCTGTCCTCACAAACAGCAGGGCTCCACACCCCCACCTCTCTCCTTCTGCACAGAGTCCTTGGCCAAGGCCCAGCTCATGGTACCTCCTAAGTTTCTCTCAAACTCATATGCTTCCCTCCATCTCTCCTATTGCTAACCCCATCGCCAGAGGACAGAGGCACTGACCAGACAACGTCCACGAGCTCCCACCTCCACACCCACCAACCCAGCTGCTTCTGTGCCCACGCTGCTCTTGGAGGCAAGGCCGACCCTTCTCCTGGGAGCCAGATCCTCTCCCCTGCCTTACTTGCTCCTGGCCCTGCACCATCAACTCCTCCCGGCTAACGCGCTGTCCCCATCAACACGCCTAGTCTCTCCCACCAGATGAAAACTTCCCCTGGAATCCACACCCCCTCCAGCTACTCTCCCACTGGTCTGTTCCCCTTGAAAAGAAAGCTCCTCGAAGGTAGTTAGCACTTGCTGTGCCCACCTCCTTGCCTCTCATTCTCTCGAATCTGATCTTTGTCCCGACCACTCCACCAAAACAGCTTGTATTAGGATCTCTAATGCTCCTGGCCATGGTCCTAAATCCAGGGGCCGGTTCTTAGGCCTCATGCTCCTCAGCCTTCCAGCAGATTCTATAAGCCGCTCACTCCCTCTTTGCTACGCTCTCCTCACGGGGTCTCCAGGAAACGATCCTCTCCTGGGTTGCTACTCTCACGCTGACTGTCATTCTGGGACTTCTTTGCTGGTTTCTCCCCGTCCTCCCACCTCTACCTGCAGGCACATCCCAGACCTCAGCCCTCTGGTCACTGCTCTATCTGCCCTGGGGTGATGGGACAGGACCTGTGCCGTGGCTCTCTGTACCTTCCTTCACAGCATGACTCGCATTTGTAGCCCGAGCTTCAACCCCCAATCTAGGGTCGAATTTCCAATCGCCTCCTTGACATCTTCATTCAGATGCTCACCAGGTCCAGAAACAAAGTTCTGATCTGCAATCCAGGCCTCAACCAGGTCCCACCACAGTCTGCCCATTTTAGAAAACAGCAGCCCCATCTTCCACGCGTGCAGGCCGAAAGGCTTCTAGTCCTTCTTAATGAGTCTCTCATGCCACATCTGCTTCCTTAGCAAATCTTATTGGCTCTGTCTTCTAAACAACCAGAATCTCGCCATCCTCACTGTTGTCACCCTGGTTTAAGCCACCGTTAACTCCCACATGCACAAGCACAGTAGCCTCATGAGTGTCCTTGTTCCCACCCTGGTCCCCTAAACTACTCCCCACACAACAGTCAGGCTGATCCCTTAAAGGGGGTTGGTCAGAGCCCATTACTCCACTCTCCATGTGTCTCAGAGGAAATGCCAAAGCCCCTGAGAAGAACCCCCCCTGCAAAGGGTCTTGTGATCTGGCCTACTCTGACCTTATCTTCTCACATCCTCCCCTCCCCCAAATAGGCTTCCAACTCAGGACCTTTGCACTTGCTGCTCTTTCACTTGGAATGTTCTTCCCCCAGACACACGGCTGGCTCCCTCGCCTTGTTCGGGTCTTTTCAGTAAGACCTTCTGCGTCTGAGTCACGTGAAGTAGCAATTATATCTCCACGGACCTTATCCCTGAATCCTTACCCATATTCCCCTGCTTTTTTTTCACCACCTACTATATTATATGTTGTTGTTGTTTTTTTAAACCTTTTATTTATTTGAGAGAGAGAGACAGTGAGAGAGAGCATGAGCGAGGATATATTATATGTTTTTATTGACTCTGTCCCAGGAGAGCAGGGCTAGTTGGTGGCTTCTCTAGTGGCTGGGATTTAGGATGCTCACGGAATGATAAATGCATGTGCTAGGCCTCTGAGCCTTTGTGCAACTAACTAGTCCCTCTGCCTGGAAGGTCCTCCCCAGGCTGGTCCACCCCTCAAGTCTTATTTATCCCAGAGTCTTATTTATCTCCACCGCCCACCTGCTGCAGCAGGGTCAGGTTCCCTGTTAGGGGTTCCACAGCTCACCATGCTTCCCTCCTCCCCTAGCGTGGCGATCACGCAAGATCAGGACTGTTTCCCTGCTGCCTTCCCCAACAGACCATAAGCACAGGAAGAGCAGGGAGAGGGCCAGCCCTGTCTGGACAGGGGCAGAGGGGTTGTTGCAGTGACGGGTACGTGAGCAGCAGGTGAGGATTCCCACAGTACTCCCTGGCATGGCAAGTGCATGCGGGGAGCTGCTGCTGCTGGGACAGGTCCACGCTGGAGGCCAAACAGTGAGTCAAAGCTTACGACCGTCCCCAGCCAATGACAAGTAAGGCACAGATGTTGCTGCTATGGTTATTTCCAAGCACAGCACACTAGGACATCTATCCTAGAACCCGTTCCCTCTGGTTCATGGTCTCACCCTCCTCCTGTGCCAGAGGCATTCATGACCTATGGGGCAAGGAGAGCTGGTGTCACAGCTATAAAGCTTCTCTGTGGGTGCCCTCTCTGGGAAAGGCAATCTGCCATGACCTTGAGTGTCCTTGCATATTCTTGCTGGGTATGCCCTGACTGTTCTTACACCGGCCATTTATCAGGGTTGCCACGGAAGCAGGCAAGCTCGAGGGACGTTACGTGATGGGGTGATAGCAGCAACCCTGGTAGGGAGACCCCCAATCTCCCATTCTGCTGCCTGAAGCAAAGCCACTGGTTCAAGGGGGCCCTTGACTCAGAGGTTCCCCTAAATACTCATGCTGGGTCCACTGATCGTTCACCTAAATTAAGAGCTAATAGTGCCGTCCAGAAGAGTTAACATAGCGGGCCTCACCGCTAGTCTTCGAAAGGACTGCTTCTAAGGTGGGACCTTGGCTAGTGTCTGGAAACTTGGATTTGGCTGGGGAGGCTCCCACCGCCCTAATTAATGAGTGGCTCACTGAGCCTACTTTGTAAACAATGTGGTTTATGCTGAACACCTGCTTTCCTCCTGGGAGTCTGGAATTCTGGAATGCACTGGGCAGAGGTTGCTTAAGTGACCAGCTCCCAATAAAAACTCTGGGCACTGAGTCTTTTTTATTTTTTCTTTAAAGATTTTATTTATTTATTTGAAAGAGAGAGAGCACAAGCAGGGGGGAGCAGCAGAGGGAGAAGGAGAAGCTCCTTGCTCCCTGCTGAGCAAGGAGCCCTACACTGGGCTTAATCCCAGGACCCTGGAATCATGACCTGAGCCAAACACAGAAGCTTAACTGACTGAACCACCCAGGCACCCCGAGCTGAGTCTTTAATGAGCCTCCCTGACAGACAATTTCTCACGTGTCACACATATGCTCCTGGGGAACTCCACTGGGAGAGGGCTCGTGGAGGCTGGCACCTGGTTTCCCTCAAACTTCACCCTATGAGTCTTTTCCCTCTCCCGATTTTGCATTGTATCCTTTCGCTGTAATAAATTATAGCCACGAGCACAACCACACACTCAGTCCTCATCAAACCTGGGGATGCTTTCAGGAACCCTAGACACCGGTATCTACTGGCCATCCAGTCCCAGTGACAATGCTGGAAGACTAACTGCCATCAGGGCCGGTCAGATATTGATCCAAATTTGAAGCCACCACCCTCGCTTAGACGACACTCTGAACACCACGCACAGTGTATTCCTACCGACTGTCATTAGCGTCCTAGTAGTCTGGCCTGCCACTTAGAAGACAACAGACGGGCAGATCAAAGACAACCATTCCTCTCTGGGGCCACAAACCATGGAAACAAACTGTGGTGGATGGTTTAACAGTCCAGCTCAGTTGGTCAGATGTCCATCCTAAGGCCCACTCTCTGATGAGACCAACCAGAATGAAAACACTGAGCAAGACTCCGCTGCCCAGTTGTACTGGATTGTGCTGGAAGCGGCAGCAAATCTGCCGCTGTGGACGGGCACAGGGCAGGGGGCTCTGTATTTCTGGCTTTACTACCTAGAGGTGCTGGTCGGGAAGGCAGGACCTGAGATCATTAGGATAACGACCACTCGGTTGAGTATGCTCCCTCCAAGACCCTCTACGGTGGCCCATGTGGCCCAAGATGGAAGATACAATGTGTCTCTGATTGTTTTGTAAAAATGCCCTTGTCCCATTCATAGCTGACCCTTCTAAATAAAACAAAGGTCCAGGTGAGAGTAGCAGATGACTGGAAAAAAAGTGGAATTACAGGTCCTGGGATGTGACACCCTGATTTTGTGGCAACAATCTTAGCATCTGGGGAGGGAACAATTACTCCTCTTGGTCTCTTAGATCCAGCACCGCCATCTGGCAAACAACCCTACGTTCTGCCCAAGCTGAGAGGCATCTGCAGCTGACAATCTAGTCAGCTGTTGGGTGTCTCACTCTCAACACTGTGATAGGAAAACTCACAGGGACATGGTCAGTAATGAACTACTCTAATGCGCCTGCCTGATGCCATCAAAGGCAACTCCCAAAGGGACCCTGTGCAGAAACGCTCAGCAGCACAGCCTGTTTTAATCTGACAGATACAAATGCATCTGCTTCTCCTGACGCCTGAGTGACCTTCCATTATGCCAAGTAGGGCAACTGAGGCTGCAGCTCCGTAGGGACGTTGCCCTCGGGGCTCAGACCAATAATATAATGGTGACTCAAATCAAGTAGTAACGTGTGGGAGACAGTGGACCATGAAATGTCTCTTTACTGGGGCGCTTGGGTGGCTCAGTCGGTTAAGGAACCAACTCTCGATTTCCGCTTAGGACATGATCTCAGGGGTGTGAGATGGAGCCCAGAGCCCCATGTCAGGCTCCATGCTGGGTGTGGAGCCTCCTCAAGATTCTCTCTCTCTCGGGGCGCCTGGGTGGCTCAGTGGGTTAAGCTCCTTCCTTCGGCTCAGGTCATGACCTCAGGGTCCTGGGATCGAGCCCCGCGTTGGGCTCTCTGCTCAGCAGGGAGCCTGCTTCCATGCCCTCTCTCTCTGCCTGCCACTCTGCCTATTTGTGATCTCTGTCAAAAAAATAAATAAAATCTTAAAAAAAAAAAAAAAAAAGATTCTCTCTCTCTCTCCCTCTGCCCACCCCGCCCCCTGCCCACTAGCACAAGCATGTGCACACACTCTAAAATAAAGAAAAAAAGAATGTCCCTTTACTGGGGACAAGGACTGCTCTGGGTCCATCTACTGCTCCCTGTAATTACTGACAATAACATCAGAGATCAGCAGGTCAGTCTAAACTCTTGCGTGGATGGTAACGGGTAACTGACTGGCCTCAGACCACATTCTGATTATCTAAGGTAAGCCCCACTGGCCCGCTCAGGACTTCTCATAGCTGGCTGAGTCTGCGACACTGGGGGGTTGAGATCAACACAGTAGACTGGCTTCATCCCGCTGCTTAGTGTCCTGCTGATGGCAGCCTTAACCAAATGGCAGTATGCGACAAACTGAACATATGTGATGCTAGCCTCTACCTACGAGATCAACCAGAACTGAACCGCATGGTCATGCGGAAATTTAAGGTAAGCCAAGAGGGCTGAGGGGTGAACTATGGGGGAGGCAATCAACCAAGGCCCTGAGCATCCCTGCATATTCTCACTGGGTTCCCCAAGAAAGCAGAGCCCTGATCACTCGGTCTGGGCCTTCTGTCAGGACGGCTTGCAGAGAACAACCTGGAAGGGTGACATGATGACTTCCCCCAAAGAGCAGGTCTGCTTCTATTCATTCTGAAGGCCGTGACCCTGAATATCCCAAACTCGGTATTCTTCAGCTTCATGCAAACCCACCGCATGCACGGTATCTGCCTGGGCCCCTGGGTCACCCCTGGGTGACTTGGGAAACAAGGGGAACCCACATGACCAGGCCAACAGTCTACATATTGCTTTTGCCGCAATGAACTCTGATGTCTCTGACCTGTCAGCATCCATGAAGCAGGAGCAGCTAAAATCCTAGACCCTCATGGACCCTGACACTCCTTCCTGCACCAGAGGAGAGCCTGTGATTTGACAAGTCCAGTCCTCCAGCCTTTCCTGCCCTTGCTGCCCTGCCCTGTCACCTCTGATTCCCTCCTCCCGCTATGTGTCCCCATCTGTGACCCCACCCTGCAGCCTGCAGCCCTCGGAGCCCACCTCAGCCCCCTAGGATGAAAGCATATGCAGGAATGTGAGACAGAAGCCAGGCTGAGCACTGAGAGGCTCAAGGGCAGAGAAACAGGGCCTGACCTCCCCGGTGTCCACTTGATGTTGGATGCCTAGTGTACATAGGGATGGTGTGTTCACAGTTTCTGACTGCCCCCCACAGTTGGGGTCCATACCCCATGAAAAGATAGGGAGCCTGACGCTAGGACAGGAGCAGCAGCTTGCCCAAAGGTACCAAGGAACGAGTGATGGTACGTGCATCCAGACCCAAACATGTCTGGCTCCAAGTCGAAAGCCCTCATGCTCCATTCAAGGTGCCCCAGCCCCTACATGACCTGGCTGCCCATGACCCCGCAGAGGCAGAGTAGACATGACCATTGGTTCCAGCAGCTTACCTCTGGGCGGTCTACTTTAAATGGGTTCTGGAAGTCAGAGTCTTTCTCGCTGATCCCCAGCTCCTGGGCCATCTGTGGATGAGGAAGAGTTAGTCATCCTCTGCCTTCTCCTGACTCCTTATCCATGGCCACTCCCTCCACGGTGGGACCCAGGCCCAAGGCTTAGGCAGATGTGGAACAGATGATGACCCCTAGGGACCCAGGTCAGCATAGAACCCCTTGAGACGGGATCTCAGGGTGCCCTGAGCCTCATCACAGAAAACACGACCCGGGACTGACATTCGCGCGCCACTGAAGGCAGATGCGAGGTTCGCGGTACACCACCAGGCAGAGGGCCCCTGCACCTCCTCTGCCGCAGCCAGTCCTTACCAGGCTAAGGATGGGCGCGTGGGGGCCCTGGTCAAAAACGCCCGACTGGTTGCAGAAGCTGATGCCCCAGCGGATGAGGAGGTTCCAGTTGGAATTGTGGTCAAAGTAGTGGTGCACAATCCTCGGGAAGCGCAGCACCACATCACCGAAGAAGGCCGTGTTCTCCACTACTTGCGAGAAAGCTGGCGAGAGGATCCTGATGAGTGGCCTGGGCAGACGTCCTTCTCCTGCCTGCCTGGCCACCCCAGCCACCCCTCAGAGAACCGAAGCCCACTAAGCCTACTCATCAGAGAAGGGAACTGTGCCCGCTCTCTGCAGGGGCTGACCACGTGTGCAGTGCCTGCTAACGGCTTTATGTCCAACAGTGACCACGAGGTCACTGAATCCTCAACACTACCTCCAGGGAGATGTGGCTGCTGTTCCCTCTGTACACGGGAAACTGAGGCTCAAATGGTGGGTGAGTGGCAAAGCTGGGCTGCAAACCCAGGTCTGACTCCAAGGGCCATGCTCTGTCCCCTGTAACTCATTTGTTGTGGGGACCAGAGAGGTGGGTGCCATTTTGCACATGAAGACCCATGTGTCATGTGAAGCTTGGCTGGGTCTGACTTCCCCCACTTGGTCTCCAAATACCCAGAGCCAGGCCCCAGTGTTAACACAACTGCACTGCATGTGAAGGGCAGGTCTACTAGGATCACTGGGGAACACATGAGGGGCTTTTTGCTCTTTTTTTTAAATCTTCCCAATTTTATATTATTTTTATTTTTTAAAAAGATTTTTATTTATTTGAGAGAGAGAGAGAGAGAGAGAAAGAGAGCATGCATGCAAATGAGCTCAGGGTACAGGCAGAGGGAGGAGAAGCGGACTCCCCACTGAGCACGGAGCCCGATGCGGACTCAATCCTAGGACCCTGAGATCATGACCTAGGCCCAAGGCAGATGCTTAACCATCTGAGCCAACTAGGCGCCCCTTTATTTTATTCCAAATGCCTCTTGAGATTTATATTAAAATAACTTTAGACTTCCATCATACATCATAAAATTCCTACACTTGGCTTCCCCTAATGTCATCATCTTACGTAACCATTGTACAGCTATCTAAACAAGGGAATTAACATCAATACTAATCATTAGACCTTATCTGAATTTCACCAGTTTTCCCACTAATGTCCTTCCTCTTGTCAACAGATCAGTTCAGACAAAGTTAGTGCGTCCATCATGGCGGAAGGTCCCCCCCACCTAGGCTACCATGAAATAGAACACTCCCAGGCCCGCTGAAGTTCCTGTTTGAGCCATCCCTGCAGATAAGGCCCAAGCAGCTCTCACCAGCATCAGCCAGGACACACAGAGAGATAAGCAGACTCCTCCAAAGATATGCCAGGTTGGGTCCAGGTTTCTGGTGAACAGAAACCTCTGGGTTTCAGAACAGCCTTAAACCTCAAAGAACTCAGGAGTTAGCTTGGTTTACAGGTTTACAAGAGCAAATCCCTTGTTCTCTTTTTATCTGGAAAACAGGGGCAATAGTACCTTCCTCAGAGTTAGAGCGGAGACTCGAGATGGTGTTTATAAAGTGCCCACCATTTGATATATAAATGCTATTTCCATCTTCTCTCAGACAGTGTAATCTAACAAGTTTTATTATTAGATTATGACCGGTTAACACGGGGGAGGGGGAATTACCCCAGGAGAACAATTCTTAGAAGAGGGGATGAAGGGACACAGGACATTATTTTACTTATCTATTCTTCCCATCCTGTCTCAAAAAGGATTTAAGGGAGTTGGGGCTTTCAAACAGTAGTAAAGAGCACTCTGAATTGCCCCCACTGGCCATTCTCTTCAATAGAATTTAGGTTTTTTCTCCTATAAACAGGAACAACCCTTGCCTTCCCTACTGCAAGGGTCAGGATGGTAGAAAAGGCAAGAATCCCTGAGGTGGGGTCATAGGCAGAGGCTTCTCCCTGTTTCCCTTGCCCCCAGCACAAGACAGTACAAAGAACTATATCCAGAAACTGGCTCTGAAGCCCAGAAATGACCAGAGAAATATGGTTTAAGTATCCATACACCCAAGGGGACCCCTTGGAAGGTGTTCTAAGCAGATACTTCCAGAGAAAAAAAGCGTGAGAATAGGAGGGAAGGAGCAGCTAGAGAAGGTCAAGGTGGTGGGGAGGAGGGAGGAGTAAGATTGGGAAGACCATACCATCCTTCAGTTTCTCGTCCTGGGGGAAGGGCCCATCTGGGAGCACATCTGCAGCAATGAGCACTGTCCGCGAGTCCTCCAGCACCTGAGGGAACCCCACCCAGGCTGAGTGGCTTTGCAGAGCCCTTCACACATGGCCCTATTTATTTAAACCCTATTTCAAATCTTTTATGCATGTAGTCCCCCTTCACTGAACACCATGCCCTTAGGGAACTCCTACCCATCCTTCAGTGCCCAGATCAAAGACTGGGCCTGCTGTGAGCTGCCCCATGCCCACACGCACCTTAAAGAGCCCCTTGAGCATGACGTCAAGAATCTTGTACTGCTGGTGGACATCGTTTAGCTGTGCCAGGTTTTTTAGTGCCAACAGCTGTTCTCGCCGTTTCACCTCAAACATCTTCTTGTCTGAGCAGCATGAAGTTAAGGGGCTGGCACCCATACTCCTGCCTGGATGATCCAGCGGTCCCCGTCCAGAGGCCCCATTCCCGACCGGAAAGTGTCTGCAAGGGCCGGAGATGCCCACGGCTGAGACACCCCCCTTGTCCCCCACCGCCAGGGAAGAGACAAACTGGGAGGCATAGGCATCCATTTCATGTAAGATTCTATATCTGACACCCTGAACACAACCCTTACGACCTGGCTCCCCGCCACCCTCCCCATGGTCTTCCTGTCACCTGCTGCAACCATTCACTATTTCCAGAACCTCCTCTCTGCTTACACTCTACACTTCACCTGGGATGCCACTGCCCCCAACCCCTCCATGAGTTTGTACTCTCAAGACCCAGTTCAAAAGCCACACCACGTTTCTCCCTGCCCCCCTCCCCAACCATGGTTCATAAAAGTACTGACTGAAGAGAAGAGAGTGAGGTCTGTGAGTTCTTCAAAGCCAAGAACTGACTGGTCCTGACTCTTCTTTGTGTCTCTGAGGTCTGGCCCCAGAGCAGGTAGCTGAGGATGCCAGGGCCTAAGTCTCCACCTAGGGTCTCCCCCATAAGATGCAAAGCACACGCACAATCCTCAGAAGAAGTATGCCTTGCCTTTTCCATTCAACATATGGGGAAACTGAGGTTTAGAAGAGAATTGACTCGATCAAGTGTTGGTTAGAACACCTCAACTTTTCTTCCGTTCCCATAGACTGGGTCTGCTCCAACCCTGAAATCCAAGCGTTTGTGGGTCCAGAAAGACTGTTTATAGACAACCTCAGAAAGAGCTTATTAACACTACCTCCCATGGCAAAGGATACAGATCTCCAGGCTCGGGTCCAGGGAGGTCTTCAGGGTGCCTGTGACTCCCGTCCCAGACAGCAGCAGGACAAAGAGGAAGGCCAGGAACTGAAGAAGATCCATATCCAAGATCCTAGGACTAGGAAAGTAACCCAGAGAGAGGTAAGATCCAGAGCTTGGTTTTATAAAATAAAGAGTACAGGTGAACAGCAACTTCCTGACATGCCATGGCCTCCAGATACCAGGAACCCAGCTTTGGGAAGCCCTGGAGCATTAGTCTCAGCCCAGGGCCTGTGACCACCAGACACTCCATAAACACTGTGGGATGGTAGGAGGGATATACAGATATACAGATACTATTGGCAACTTAGGAACGCTTAAGGCACAGGGGTCAGTGTCTAGAGCTCTGGGCTGGAGCCCTGGCTCAGCGTCTGACTGTGGGCCCAGGGGCAAATTGCTCAGCCTGAGCCTCAGCTTTTTCACCTGTAAAACAGAGGTTTCTCCCTACTGTAGGGAGAAAGGACTGGGTGAGGCATTGTGCCTGGGGAAGGGGGGTCCGGTCATTATCATTCCCTTTCACTATACCCCATCCTGGGCCCCAGGAAGATGTCCGGTTACGGAAGCCCAGGCAGTCAGAGGAGATGTGAAAACTTTCAGTTTCCCTCCCTCTCTGACTTCTGTCATCAAAACAGAAAGGGGCCACCTGTTGGCTCTGTCAGTGGGCATGCAACTCTTGATCTTGAGGCTGTAAGTTCAAGCCCCACACTGGGTATAGAGATTACTTAAAAATAAATTCTTAAAAAAAAAGAATGGAAGAAGGAATTTGGGGCAGGAAAGGAGGGTGCACAGTCTTGGGTAAGAAGGCTGCCTGCCACTCACTCACTGTGGAACCACAGGCACCACAAGCCACACCTGCTCCTACTCAAGCACTATTCCCTAACTAATTTTTAAATTCCACATTCAAGGCACTGTTTGAGACCTGGGAATACACTGGTGTCTAAGACAAACAAAAATTACTGCATTCATGGTACTTGTGTCCCCAGTAGGGGAAAGAGACAATCAATAAACCTGTAAAACAAGCACAAAAGGGTAAGGGAGCTGACAGGGTGGAATATGAAACACAGTGGTCAGGTGACAGCTGCCCAATTTTACCAATGTGGAATCCAAGGCACAGAAAAGTGAAGTGATTGTCCAAAGACACTCAGCTATTCCCAGGCTAATGAGATTCTAGATAAGCAAAGGCTACCTCAAAGCCGCCACTGTACTAGCAGGACAGCTGCTCCAGGGGAAAGACGCTCAGTGATTGACAGAGCCTGCAGAGGTCATTCAGAGAACCGTCCCGGCGCCTGAGGATGAGACAACTGAAGCTTCCAGGGCGGGAAGGAGTAGTCCAAGTTCGCCCAGGACCACCTGCCTTCCAACGTCACGCTCTAGACTCAAGAGAACGACCCGGGCGGGCTAGGGCAGAACTTGAAGCCAGGGGGAATCAGACAGCCGGTGACGACCGAAGCAGGAGAGAAGCGGGAAAGGGAAACCGAAAAAGCAGACCGCGTGGAGGCGGACCCTGCCTCTCAATCCCGCTCCCCGCCCCGTGCATTCCCAGCGCTCTTCCCGGCTGGGTACGAGGCTCTGAACCCATTCTGTAAGGGGGACATGGCGGTAGCGGGCTCGCGGACCCGGCTTGCTGACCGGAGCCTTTGGGGCTCCCAGAAGGGACAACGAGTCCTTCCGACGATAAGAGTCCGGGGCCGCGAATCCCATCCGCTAGCCCCAGCAGCAGGTTCGGGGGCCCTTGGTCCCTGCCCCCCAGCCCCACTAGGAGCCCGCCCTCCCTGGACCCCCCCGCCCCACCTACCAGGCAGGTCAGTGGGGTCAGAGGCGTGCGGATAGGACGTTGGTGTGCAGCCCGGCTCTGGGGTCCACGGGGCGAACTACAGAGGCGCGGAACCTCACAGTAGGCGCCAACAGCGGCGCAGGAACCTCCGAGCGCGCCCCCGCCAATGAGCGCGGGCCGCGACGGCCGCTCCGCTGACCTCACTTCCGGCCCCGCCCCGCCCGGACCCCAGCGCGGCAAACCCGAGTCTTGTCCCGCCCACCTTGTGACCGGGTAGCGACTGTCGCCCTGTCACGGTCGGATTGGAGAAAGTTAAGCCTGCGTGGGGTCTGGGTCCGACTCAAAGGGCGCGCCAGCGGACTGGGACCCTGACCGAAACTTTTCATAAGCTGACAGTATCTTTTAAACTGTAGTTGACGGGGGCGCCTGGGTGGCTCAGTGGGTTAAGCCTCTGCCCTCGGCTCAGGTCATGACCTCAGGGTCCTGGGATCGAGCCCCGCGTTGGGCTCTCTGCTCAGCAGGGAGCCTGCTTCCATGCCCTCTCTCTCTGCCTGCCACTCTGCCTATTTGTGATCTCTGTCAAATAAATAAATAAAATCTTAGAAAAAAAATTTTTTTAAACTGTAGTTGATGCAATCAGTTTGGCGGGTCACCACTAGCACTTTTTTTTTTTTTTTTTTTAAAAGACAACTGCAGTGCGGAGTTGGTGCATCCCCTGCTCGCCTCTCCAGTCCACCAGCTTCTAAACCTAGTTCGTCGGGGGCCTCCGTATCCGTTCATTAGGACGGAGTTCAGACCAGTGTTGTGCAGGGTCCCTACAGCCAAACCCGAGGAGCTGGGTGGGCTGCCCAGTTACGGGCACCCAGGTCGGGGAGGGGGGACAGGGGGCTCGGCAAGCGGACAAGGAGCCAGAGGCGCGGTGGGCTGAGTTGGGAACAGGAAGCAGGCACATTTGTGGAGAGCAGACAAAAGAACTGCACACGAGGGCGCACGGAAAAAACACAAGGGACCTGCTCTAGCCAGGGAACAGCTGGGCTGGGCTAGCGAGGCACAGGATTTGACCTGCTCAGCTTCCTTGCCTGGAAATTGCACCTCTCTCCACCTTCATGTGAGGTGAGGGAGCAGGTAAAGTGCCTCTTGGAGCACTTGGATCACACGGGTACCACACACATGGCCTTTCTCTGCACTTTCAGCCCCGTGGATGGCCTTGCTGGTTTTTTTCTGGGTACAACTGAGGCAGCCGGCTGGTGCTCTTTACATGTTACCAGAACAAATCTCAGCCCCCCGTCCCTGAGGAGGCCATCCATTCCTCACGGAAGCAGTCCACTGTCTGAGTGACAGAGTTACCAGCTCCAGGGAGCCGAGACAAGTCACGTCCGAAACGTTTTTGGAGACATGTGAGTGTATCATTTTATTTCCTGACTCCATTTTAACAATGGAGTTAATGGCTACAGTTGTCATCCATTTCCCCAACAATCCTTTCTCTTCACCAGGTCTTAGTTCTCTGTTTCTGGGCCTTCAAGTTACGAAGGTCAGTCTCTGATGTGGGACAGGGATACAGCCACCCCTCCCAGGCAACTGGCAGCAAAACATGAGAGGAAAACAGCAGAAAGGTGGAGCCAGCCATGGGAGAACTACACTTCCAGTGCTCAGAGGTGCCGTAGGAAGATTGGGCTGGGTTCTAAAGCTGGGACCCAAACACCAGGGTAGCTAGTTGCTATTCAACAGGGAACTGTTTCAGGCACAGGGGAAGGAGAGCCAGGGAGGTAGCCAGCAGGGATGGGGACTGAACCAGATTGAACACCCAGATGGAAGTGTCTCTGGGGCACCCCAACCACCCCCAGAGGGCCTCTAGCCACTGCCCACAGCCCCAGGCTTTCTCAGGGACATCACCACCCCCCCCCCCCACTGGGCTGAGGGAAGCACCTGTATCTGCTGGATTTGCGCAACTTTCTCCAAAGCTCTTGGGGAAGGACTGGCTCCTTCCTGAGTTTGGTAATGTGGCTTTGGAGGCAGACAAATGGGGGTCAGATCCTGATGCTATTACTGTGTGATCCTGGGCACATCATTTAACCTCTCTGGTCTAAGTTACACCTATGTTAACACCCTAGCTTCTGTGAGGATTAGACATGGTGCAAGTAATGTGCGTGGCCCTTGGTAGGAACTTAAAAAGAATAAGCCGTTGTCATTGCTATCACTATTATTTTCACTGAAGCAGATGCTTTAAAGGACAGGGCTGTAGACAGTGTCACCTCTCTGAAGCATGATGCCACAGCCTCCCATAGCCTGAGTGACCTTGCCCAGGCCAAGGCTCCCAGATGCAAGAAAGGATACAGCATGTCCAGGGGTGGCTGGGTGGAGGAGCTACTCAGGGGAAGGTCCTCTAGGGAGGCCTGCAGGGTCTGAGCCGTGGTGTGATCAGCCAGGAGGCCCATGCTCTGGACCTGGGGAAAGAAGACGGCAGGGAAGACAGTCCTTCTCAGCAGCCACTCCACACAGGCCCTCTCAACCCTCCACCCTCTGCACTCTGACCTCCCCTCAGCTGCTGTGGCCAGAACCACCATCCTCCGCACAGAAGACGGCATGGAGGGTCTAGCCTTACAGTGGCTACACAGCATCCCCTCCCCACCCACCTGCAGGAAGAAGCCACGCAGAGCCTGTCGTGTGTTGTTCGACAGGGTAGAGAGGTCAGCCAGAGCCACGGCTTGCAGAACATGACCCACCTCCTCGTGAGAAAGGACACTGCTGCTCTGGAACCGCACAAGCTAGGCCAGGGAGAGAAGCCCCAAACACACGGGGATATTTCCTGTGCCTCTGCTGTGTCTGGCCCTGGGCTGGGGGCACAGATCTGAAGCCCAGAGAACCCTGCTTTCAGAACCTCAGAGCTGGTGGGCAGAGGTGGGGTTGTGTCATAGAAGAAGGGTGTAAACTAGGCACACTGTGAAACATTCAGAGAGTTGGCCCTGCTGACCTCTTCAGTACCCTTCCCCTCACTCCTTGGCCCTGCACAAAACACGCATGGCCAAAAAGGACTATGTGTGGTTACCCAAACACACCACCATGTGTTCATTTACCTGCTATTTTCACTTCACTGCCTGGAACACTTTTCCTCCTCTTTGCCTATTAATCCTTCAAACCTCAGCTAAAATGTTACCTTCCTGCTGAATGTTTCCATTTCATTAAAACAGGAGAGGCATTAATTGAGTGCTTACTGCATCCTTATTCACCTCTCCTTCCTGGCTTTGGCAGAAGCAATTACAGTCAACCTTTGAACAACACGAGAGTGAACTGCACAGGTCCACTTAGACACACATTTTTTCGATAAATACAGTATTATAAAAGTATTTTCTTTTTATGATTTTCTTAGTAACATTTTCTAGCTTCCTTTATTGTAAAAATCAGTATTTAGTACACATAACACACAAAATATGTGTTAACTGACAGTTTATGTTATCAGTAAGGCTTCTAGTCAACAGTGGGCTATTAGTAGTTAAGTTTTGGGGAGTCAAAAGTTAATATGCAGATTTCCAACTGTAAGGGGGTCAGCACCCCTAACCCCCACGTTATTCAGTGGTCAGCTGTGCTCGTCTCCGTGTTCCCACACCAACCACTGCCTTATTCACTGATCCACTTCACTACCATTCACAGGCTCACGGCTTTGTTCTTTATTCAGTGGGCACTTACTGTGTGCCAGGCACTTAGCATATCTTCTGCTGAGCCGCTAATAACATCATGGTTTTTTTAAAAAGATTTTACTTATTTATTTAACAGAGATCACAAGTAGGCAGAGAGAGAGAGAGACGGGGAGGCAGGTTCCCTGCTGAGCAGAGAGCCCAATGTGGGGCCCAATCCCAGGACCCTGGGATCATGACCTGAGCCGAAGGCAGAGGCTTAACCCACTGAGCCAACCCAGCTGCCCCATAACATCATGTTTTAACTATTAGTTTCCTTTTCTATTTTCTTCTCTAGACTGGGGGACCCTTAAAAGGGCAGAGCATTTGGCTCGGTGACATCTTTGGTCCCTAGCACAGGATCTGGATGTGGCAGACAAGCCTTGGCCAATGTTTCATGTGCAAATGAATTAGAAAGAGCATCTGGGGGGTGCCTGCGTTCAGCTGGGGTTGTGATCCCAGGATCCTGGGATTGGGTCCCATGTTGGGTTCCCTGCTCAGTGGGGAGCCTGCTTCTCCCTCTCCCTCTGCCTGCCTCTCCGTCTACTTGTGCTCTCTCCATATATAGCTGTCAAGTAAATAAATAAAAATCTTAAAAAAAAAAAAGAAAGAGTATCTGGGTCTTTTGGGGTGAGAAGATGTGGGTGCTTAGAGGAATTCTCTGAGCAGCTCTCATAGACGGTGAAGGCCCACCCAGCCCCTCTGCTTCTACCCCTCTGCCTGGCCTCTTCAGGACCACACAGCTCATAACAACCTTCACAGCACAGAACCATCCATTCTGCACTTACCAGGGTCATGAACCTCAAGATCTCAGGTCTGAGGAAGGAACTCTCTCCAGCATCCAGGAGGGTAAACAGCAAAAACCGATTCCAAGGCTGGGAGGCCACATGGAATGCTACAGGAAACACCAGTCACCCTGGGTTGTTACTGCTGCTTTTCTGTAGGCCTTGGAACATTGCTGAAGAGGACTTTCTCTTATTGTCTCAAAAAGGGGCTGCTCAGCTAGCGGCAGGGCCTGGGACAAATTGGCCACTGGAAGTTTCTTTCTTCCCTGGGCTTCTAGCCACCTATGCTGCCTGGCTCAGGGAGACCACATATCCCACTATTGTGGGAAGCAGGAGGAAGGGCTGTGCCACTTCAGAGCTTTGTGACCTTGGTTGGGCAGGTTACTTGAGCTCTCTGGACTGCAGCGCCATCTGTATAACGGACATTATAATGCCCTTGCATGTTATGAAAAGAATTAAACAAAATGAGTGCTTATCAAAAAACAGAGGTTGGGAGTCTGGGACAGAAGGGTGGCAGGGGCTGGCCACCCCTATGGGAACATCAAAGAATGGGGAAGGTTTCTACCGATGTCTGGGCTCCGGGCATGCAGGTAGTCAAGCAAGGCTTCCAGGCAGCCAACACAGGCATAGGACAACAGAGGGTCCTTCTGCAAACAAACAAACAAATAAAACCCCTTCATGTCAGGTTTTGCCAC